ATTAAAGTAGGTAAAAAAATCTATCTATCAATTGTCTAAATTTCGTTGGCATAATCTTAAGTTCATGAAATAGTCAAATGTTAGAAACGTATCTAAACCAGTAGTTAAAAATCTTCACCTAGATTGTGTAGCATATAAACATTTGAAAATATTATTATGGTAGAAATGTTTCTTTTTTTTTGTATTAGAAGATAATTTTTTTTTCCTAACATTTGACTACATTGATAACAATTTACATTAGTAGTTAAATAGAATATTTAGTTTTCTCTTTGAATACTCATAAAAAGACTGCTTCACTTTAAAAAAAGTAGTTTATAGCGATTAGTGCAAGACATTTCAAATTGAATAGATTCATTAGGTATTTGAATAATTATATAAAAGTCTTCATTTGTATGAAGTTAATTTCATGATTGATTTAGAACTCCATCAGCACTACCATCAAATGAAGAAAGACCATCTTCTCTTAATGTAATATCAAGTGATCTTCCATTTTCTTGTTCTAATTTAATTCGTCAACGTCTTATTCAAGATGGTCCAATATCACCAATATTACATGATACTTGTACATGTCGTGCTGATCATATACCAATTATTCATGATCTTGAATTTGATACATTTATTGAATTAATAGGTCAAATAAATCCTAAACAATTAATTGTAATAGGTGTTATAAATTCAAATCTTCGTCAAATTGAATATGATGAAAAGCAACAATCAAATGAATTATATGAAATACTTCAAACATTACATTATCATCTTAATTATGGTCGTAGTCAAATATCTGTATGTCGTTTATCAACAAATGATGATTATCGGTGTTTAATATATGATTTAGCTGAAGCAACAAAACATAGTTCATTATATGGACCATTACTTGTTCGACGTCATAATGTTCAACCTGGTTTTGTTCTTATTTATCAACATGGACAAGTTATTTTCGGTGATTCAATATTTAATGGTTATGGAAGAAATTTACAAGATTTGAAAAAACAATTAGATCGTATGAGACATCAACAAATTGCTTTACCCGAAGAATTCAAATTTATGTTTGTAGTTTTTTTTAAAAAGAAATAGTACATTCGTGCTGGTTTTTTTTTTGTTTATTTAGATCTGATCATCGACGAACAAATTCAACAGTTTTAAAATCAGCTTGAAAATTTGTATTTCTTTTTTCTTTTTGTATCTTTTTTTTAAAGCTTTTAATAAATCTCATATACCAGGGGTTTCATATATTTCTAAAACTTAATGTTTTGCTCTTCATATGGAAACTAAATATTATCTAATATCAAACTAGACTGCCATTCGAGCTTCGCTCGAGTAGAAAAAATGTGGCTGACTACACGAGCTCGAACAATGTGAAAACACGATCTTATACGACATCTGCTATTTGTAAAGCATAGATTTGCATAGAGGGAATCATAATAAATTTCAATCACGTTCAGCTTTATGAAATTGAAAGGAAAGAATAAAAAAATCCTTCGATTGTGTAGCGGTTTTTAATTATCTACGAGAAAATTCATTGTAACGTCACCATCATTGATTTGCTTTTTTTTTCTGTAAATCAACAGTATGATATAGAAATCTAGGTAATCTTCAATTCAAGTTACCTGAATAGCCTGTTGATTAGTCACGCTTGTGATCGATGCATATCCATGAAAGAACTCAATGTATATAAGATAAAAAAAATGATAGTATTATATAAATATTTCAATAATTTGTTTAAAACAATGGTAAAAAAAACGAAACCTATAGATGATCATAAGGAGAAACAGCGCACTTCAAGTGAAAAAATATTTTGAAGTACTTTACTGCACTTTAAAATACACTTGAAGTTATTTCTAAGTATTTCAATATACTTGTGTATTTTGATATAATTTTCGACTTGCAGTATACTGCTTTTTCCTAATATTCAAACCATGTGGTACTGAGTGCTGGAAGATGCATAGTACTATGTTTGTTTTGACGGGTATTTTCTCTTCGACTGTGTCTTAAGTTGCCGAAAACGACAAAATGGAGATGTCCGGATGATTACTTATCTCAAGTAGGTAGTAAAATTTTATTGTCATTTTCATCGAATCGATAAGTGTCGTGTATTAAACTTTTTTGTATGTAAAACTAGGAAACATTTGAATAAATTAATTTCGGATTGTAACATGACTGAAAAATGTATTACACTGAAAGCATAATCTTAAAACGAAACAATTGTACCCATGTCATGATAATCGGTCAAAAACCAGTGGTTCACCGTTCGATTAAGGAATGATCTTCTGTTTGGAGGGTAGAGATGGGTGTGGTTGAAGAAAAGACTCACATCCACATTCTTCAAACCGTCAGTGAACATCGAGGCCCTTTGTCTATTTAAAATGTGGCAACACCATCATTGTGCATATAAAAGTGACTTATGAGCGAGACTATCATCGTGTGATCACCAGCGTATGAGTTTTCAGAGAAGAACTTAATATCGATTGTTGTGTACGAAACTGTGAATAACAGATGATTTCAAATCTATCGTTTTTAAAAGAGAAAATTTTCTCAATATGAAAGGCAATTTCTTTTGCATGTCGTTGTATACTACAGTGAAAACTCCTGAAATCAGATATGCGAGTGTCTCTAAACGATTTTACGAAAGGATTCTCAATGTTGATTTTTTTCGTTTCTAATTTTCATAGATCAACACTATATAGTTCGTTTTTCTTTTTACTGCTTAATTATCAAGAAATAAAGAAAATGGTGCAAGTTGAAAATATTTCATGTTTTGTTTGAAGAGAAACAAATAAGAACATTGATCAATGTTCAACAAATTCTCCTAGAAGAATCTTCGTAACAGTGTCTTTGATGAGTTCGGTGACTTTTTTGCGATGTCCACTCTTGGATAAATTTTGCTTTTCTCCATTCTGACTAATAGACGTCAGGATTTGGGGATGGACGAGGATGTTAAATTTGAGAGCATCGCCTTCATCACTATTTTTGCCCACGTAGCCAAACGCAGACGAAAAAGTGTACATGCCATAGTCTTGTGATAAGCGTTGACAGATTTGAGTATAAGCCCGAAACAATTCTACATTATTCATTTTTCCGTCCAGTCCTAAATCAGCCATATGAAAGATCACTTTTGTTTCATAATTTGGCATGCCGAAGATAATCAGTGACTCAGGTGATGATCGTCCACCACGGCGAATATTCCAATCGCGCTGTTTTAATTGACCATCTTTCGTAATAAACAAATCACCGGCATAGAGTCCATTCATATAACCAAATTCAGTAGCTTCCAAATCAATCATGAGTGAATATGTGTCAAACATCATTTGCCAGATTGTTAATGAATCCTGAAGATCAGCCGGTGACGATGAAGTCCACTGTGACATACAAGATAAATAATATTAAATTAAAAGGAACTACTTTTTCGATCTCACTTGTTCAATATATGCTCCGTTTTCTGTTCCACAAAGACTGATGGAAGTAGGAAAGAATTTTCCATTGAGAACAAAACCGCAGACAGTATAATCAGCATCGATGTCACCTGAGCGCTTTTGTGGTTCGATCAATTCTTCTACTACAGCCATTTCTGGCAACAGATCACCATCAAGTGTCTTTTCGATGTGTTGTTGCAGGTAGGATACGCGTTCTTCTTGATCTTTCTTACAATCGTAGATAATGGGATGTACATTTGGACTCATAGATGACCAACCACCTGCACCACATGAGTCCAACTTGACGAACGCAGGCAAATCGAATCTGTTGTGCAATTGATCAATTGCTTGTATGATACCTCGAGCAAAGATCTATATGAAGAGAATCACAAATAATTATTTTCTTCCATGTGAAAATAGAAAAAGAAATTAGTTTTTCGATAGTTTTTAATAACATGTCAATACCTCGATATTATTACGTGTATTTTTTGTATGGGTTGTGTTGAGCTTTTTGAGAATTTTCGTGTATTCTTCATAGCTTTCGATTAATGAACCTTCTGCGGCGGCAGCTATCATTCGTGGCAAAGCCGTAAATCCTTTTGATTTTAGAACAAAGTGATGCCTAGCCTTATCATTTTTCGATATGTCTGGTAATGATAAGCGATCGGAGTACATTTTAAGTTCACGTTGATGTAATCCAGTCATGTCATAGGGAAAAACGAATGATCGGCGAACATCTTTAGTAATTATCTCAAAATGCCGTTTCAGCATATGAACGTGATACAATGGATAGAATTCTTTAGAGGATTGTTGAGCGAACTCTTCACAGAGTGTTGTATATTGCTTCGGATTGTCTTCGAACAAACGGATCAATTCCAGAACATGACCAGTCAAATCTTCGTACAGGATTTCAATGCGCACTGTCCGTTGTAAATATTGTTCAATAAGAGACTTCAGTTTCAAGTATGCTTCCAATTCGACAGGATTTGGTGGCGCATAAACGAGAATTCGACCACCACAACGAAATCCAGTTGATAGCCAGAGAGCAGGAAGAAATGATCGATCGAAACCACGAAGATAGGCTATCTTGCTAGGCTCCGATCCGAGCATTTGAATAGCAATATCATCGAAAATAATAAGCTGGTCCGCATCGTCAAATGTGAAAGCGATGCGACGTGCCAGTTCAACTCGATAACTAAGATCAGCTGGATATTTAGCACCCCAAGCAGCCAATTCATCCGGAGAGAGGCAGGACAAATAGAGTTCGTGGGATGCTCGTTGACTGTTATGAGAGCATAGATTCGGTGTGCATTTTAAAACATTAGTATCAGTTACTAGAGTTGTCATTACTGATTCTGAAAATGAAAGGATAAGAGGACAAGGCACACATCAACGCAACTTTTATGTTGTAACTAGGGGTGGCACTTTTATTTTCTTTTCCTTTTCTTTTAGGAAATAAAAAGAAGGTAAATATGTCATCCCTAATTGTATACCATTTTTAATGAAATTTTTCGCACAGAAAAATGATGATCGAACCAAAAAAAATAGAAATTTCTGATTATCGAACGAGCAAAAAAAAATGCAAGTTTTTTCAAAGTCATGCCATACAGATCATTCAAATTGAAAATCATGCCGATAGAAACGTTAAACTTTTACCAAAACCATTTCATGAAAAACATGCCATAATAATTGTGTAGTTTCGTTGCTACCTGAGTCTACAGAAGACTCAGATGAAATTATATGCGTGGTCTTTTCACAAACTCCAGGTTCATTGCTCGACGACGGGCTGCGTAGCAGAGATGTCCATCGCGGCTGAAAATCTGCCGCTGCCGCGCCGCGACGGTTTATAAAAAAAGTCGTCGCGGCGCTGCCGCGCCGCGATGGTCTGTAAAAAAATGTCGCCGCGGCGCTGCCGCGCCGCGATGGTCTATAAAAAAATGTCGCCGCGGCGCTACCGCGCCGCGACGAGTAATAAACTTGCCACTGCCGCACCGCTGCCGCGATGGTTTTCAAAAAAGTGTTTCGAATTTCACTACAGCAACTATATGGGACCAGAAATATTGGTACTAGTTCCTCAGATTCATTCAGTCTCAGAGTGTTTCCTTTGTAAACAATGAAATTCTATCAAATTCATGCAGTTTTCCAATGTCCTCGAAAAAAATTCTGTCGCTGTCGCCCCACTGCCGCGATGAATTTTTAAAAACTTTGCCGCTGCCGCGTCACTGCCGCGATGAGTTTTTGAGAAACCTGCCGCTGCCGCGTCACTGCCGCGATGAATTTTTGAGAAACCTGCCGCTGCCGCGCCGCCAACCGCGGCCGCGGCCGCGGCGCGGCAGCGGCAGCGGCGCGGCGGCGGCGCGATGGACATCTCTGCTGCGTAGTGAACTTTTGAAAAGTTCAATTTACTCTGTAACCACTATAAAGTGACAAGTATTTAGAGTATTAAATTTAACCATTCATGTAGCAAAAAGCAGCGCATGATATCCTTCTGATCCTTACATATTCTGGTTTTTGTCGAAATATTCAAATTCATGAAATTTTTTCGATGAAAACTTTGAAAATAATCATTCAGATGAAATTTTTTTTCATTTCATAACTGGTCATGTCGTCCTCCTAAATGTTCAAAAAGATTTCTTTAAAAAAAGAATGGAAGTGCATAAAGCCGAGTAATATGCTCATTTCTACTTCCATCACTACATGATGAAGTCGATGAAGAACTATACGACAAATATTCAGATAAATCTAGGGCCACTTGTACAACAAAACTGACGGACGTCTATAATGTGGCCTATGAGAGTAGTACGTGACACGCCGATGCTCATTTGACAAACGAATCGATCAGAAAAGTGTCTCGCAATATTTTTCGCTTTGCTGTGTATTTCTAACAAAAGTTTCGGGCTCAAACCATTCAACTTTCAAGGCATGGTGGTTGAAGCACTATTGTAGTTTCGCGTGATTTGTTAAAGGCACTCCGCCCTCCTTTGTTTTCCTCCCTTCCCATTTTCAGCAACGGAGCAGCCGATTGAGCTGAAATTTTTATTACAGCTATTGCATCGAAAATGATGGGACTTTTCTTCGAGGAAAAAGTTTTATTTGAAGATTGTCGAAGAGTTTTCTATAAAACCATCCGTTGTTCAAATGACTTCATCCAGCTACATTACGGCAATTGTCTAACTTTGTCCTATTGCATTGGAAATTTCTTTTAATGCACCCCGTACAAGATCTCAGAGATGTTTGTAATGTTTTTGAAAAATCTCAATTTGCGGCCTATTCATTAAAAGATTATCGTAGCTTTCTATTAAAGAGCACCTGTTGATGACCCTCTAGATCCAATCACATCGCATTAGAGAGTGAAAATGAAGACGGGCACGAACACATCTGGAGTAATGGTTAAAGATATTTGTGATGAAAATTTCAGCTAAATCGAACGAACTTAACGGGAGTCATAATGAAGTGGAATGTGGAAAATCTTCATATTGGGCTTCGAGTATAAATGTCTTTCGCCGACATTATTCTGAACAAATAACTTCCAATACTATTGAAGCAGTCAGAAAAGATTAATAGAATATGCAAAAAATTTACAGATGAAGGATACGGAGTCTCTTTTCGTATTATAGCAATATAATTGCCTAAAATCTTTTAGTAGATAGGCAAAACTTTTTTGAAGAAATCTAATATTCTCCTCCCCTTATGTCCCCATGGAGAATATACTGCTTCTTGAAATTTGACAGTAGATTAGTTTGAGCTGAAAGATGTGTGCAGTTGCAGAAGATATTTGGAGCTCTGCCTCATATGAGCACTCGATATCGGCATGTCTGCCAAACAAAAACCAGGTTTTACCCTTAATGCGCATAGTAGATCAATTTTTACTGTTTCGTAATACGTCAGAAGAAGCAAATAACACATAGAGACCTTAATCATTCTTTATAATCCTGACGAAGGTCTACAAAACTGTGTGGTTTCTGATTTATGAAAAGTCTGGACTTTGTGCACGACATTTTCTCCCAAAACACAATAGTTTGTTGTTATTGATGGATAAAGCCGAATTTTGCACAATTCCTTATGTCCATCATTTTACAATGAATTCGACGCTGGATTTCACAGAGAATCATTCGACCAGAATCTAAATAAGTTTTAGATTGAAGAGGCATGATTAAAAAGTGATGCAATATCTTTTTTCTACATAGTTACATAATATTCAATGAACTACTCAAGAATAAGTGCGTTCGAAATGTTTTCAACGCTTGTTTTGACCTATAGTACTCTTCATCTAGACTCACACACCTACATCCAACATTTACATATACGAAAGAAAATTGCAACAAAAAACATACCAGCTATGACACAGAGATATTGAGTTAGTATGATATTTATCAAATTCACACGGTAGTTATCTAATAAGTTGTAAAACTTAGTTCTCTAATTTTTTCAGGGGTTCATCAAGAAATTTCCAATAGTGATGAACTTAATGATTCATCTAATCTAACAGCAATCATCGTCCTTCATATTTTTTTTCGAATTGTAAAAACTCAAACTATCTAAATGACACTATTCTCGAATTATTCATGATATAATTCAGTAATGCTATATTACCAAGCAGAGGAAACAATACCATCTTCGATTGTTTTTGTGAATAAAACTTTTATAACCTTCAAGTAAAAGAAAAATATATGAAAAGATGTGCTATGACTAATGTTACAGTTTTCTTGCATGATGCTATGATTCATGACTCAAACTGTAGACTTATTTTGTTCTGATTAGATTCCTTTCTTATAAAAAAATGGCATTCAAAAAAAATAATAAAAATAGTCTATTCTATTTTGTAGAGAGAAAAATTTCACGTCTGAAACCATTAAATGACAAAGGAAGAAATTTAAAAAGTCAATTTTTTTGAGTATGATCCAAAATTTTGAAGAATTGTGAGCCTTGTCATTTTTTTGTATAAGTGAAGTAGAATGAGTTGATATTTAGATGTTAATAACAAAGTTTTGTAGGCTCTCGAATGAAATAATCAAAATCTTACCATAAAAAGGTGCAATATATAAAGCAACTTGTATTTGACAATGTCGTGTAAGATCATCATAAGCATGTTTATTCAGTAAAAACCTTTAACACAAGCATTAATAAATTTTTCATATCATTGTCATACTTTTAAATAAATATGATCGTGAATTTTATATCAAAATTAATTCATTTCATTTCATCATATAAACGTTGTTTACTATCATAGATTTTCTACTCTTCTTGTTTTGTTTAGGAAAAACTTCTTTATTCAGATGTTTCGGTAATCATCGGAATACATTCTTCAATGCAGAAATTATAACAACAACAACCAGCACAACTATTCATAGTTCTTTTTCTTTTCTTTCTAATACTGATACAGAAAAAACAAGATGACGAATAGCTGTTATTTCTTGTCCAGTTTATCATTTTATCTCTGCACCAGTATTAGAAAGAAAAGAAAAAGAATTATGTATAGTTGTGCTGGTTGTTGTTGTAATTTTTGCACTGAAAAATGTGGTCCGATGATTACCAAAACGTCAGAACAAAGAAGTTTTTCGTAACCAATACAGGAAGAGTACAAAATCTATTTTAAAGTTTACAATAATCTTCCTAAAAAATGTCACTAGTAAACCTAATATATTGAAATTTTTTTTTTCGTATTTCACTAATTGTTACTTCCATTGTTATTGATAAATTATATAATTTTAATATTTATTTATTAAAACCACAATAAATATAAAGATCAAGTGCTTTTTTTATTCTTAATATCAACAACATATAATTGATTCATATAGAATACTCAAATCAACTTAAGACAGTTTTATTTGAAGACCAGAGCTCTTATAATTAAGGACAATAGATGTTCCAGCTGGACCACTATCTTCAGCACTAAGATCAAAGTCTTATTTAACTAATGTAAGAATATTTTCAACAAGAACATTTTCACTAATATCAATGAATCATATGGTTAGTGAATAATAAATAACATAGCGTATATCTTTATGAGTAGGTAATGTATCCTATTAATATAAAACGTATTTAAATAAGAAAAAAAATCAAATGAGATCAAAGATGATTTTCACATAATGATGAAATTTGATATAGTATATAGTCATTTGTTTTTGAAAATCTTATTGAATATTTGACAAAATAAAAATTTGTCACGTACATATATTCAAATTTTTATTCTATTAATACTCCTTCTCTTCATTTCCAACTGAGATATTTAACCAAGAAAAAAAAAGAAAAAGAAATTATCACACAGTAGGAATTTTTTTCTACACTTTAATTACTATCACCAAAAATGATTTCTCACAAGAATTCATTACAGATATTGTTGACAA